TCCTATCGCTTGTGCCCAGTGCATCAGAAACGACACAGCGCTCTGCGAGACAGTGTTTTTCTATGGGTTGGCCCTGTGGGCTCAAATATTTGCCCGCTCTTAAGACAAATAAAGGTAAAACTTTCAGCCCGCACTGTTCAACTTTTCTTTCAAGTGCTTCCGTTTGCAAACACACATAAACTTTGCTCGACCGATGCCGAAAGATATTCAAAATTCTTCCTCGTGAAAATCCATGTTTGATTCCTTCTATATCATTTGCTCCTGGATATCAGAGTCCTGCATCTTGAAGAATTGTGACAAGTTGATAACAAATGTGATTTGTAACAATGTATTACTTCTCAACTTGTCATATATCATCAATCACTTCTGAACAAAGTCAACAAAATTTGGTATAGCCCCAATGCTTTGATTACAATTTCTTCAGATAACATCTCATTCCAACTGATTTACCTCAAAAGGAATTAAGACCGTATTTTTGAAACTGTAATATATCAAGCATATATGTAAACATAGAACTAGGGTTGTGTTTACACTCCTAATATCAGGGTTGAGTTTACACTCCTAATACCATACAAACTAAAACTTTGAGAGCACATATCGACAGCACACACACTTCCAGGTGATCATAAAAATTTATCAATAAATTTATTACCTACAATACAGTTCAGTCAAATGAAAACCAAACACAAAAGATCCAAAAAGCTACAGAATGGTCATCTTGACATAAACCTTGTAATCAGAGACTGCCATAAGAAAAGATAAGCGTTTCTGACTAGCAGGTGCACCGTTTAACACAAGTATTACTTCAGGGCCAGACTGTTATTGTAACTTCAAACAAAGATCCATCAACTCCATTGTCTTAAGAAGTGTGGAACAAAAATTCAGAAAATTAATTTGGTATTCTTAATTTTTTAAACCTTAAGAGCTGGTATTGTACTGAAAGGTTCTATTCAAAATTTGGAATCCAAAAAGTAGCGAAAAGACATTTACCAGCTTTGTGTTTTTGTGTTCATGGATGTGTTGTTTTTGTCCTGCTAAATAAAAAATAAAAAATAAAAAATAACTAATTTGTAAACAATATGGTTCATACCAAATTTATACTATTTTCATCTTAAACAGAAAGGTCCATACAAAATGAATCTTCATCCACGCTAAAAACTTGTTTGGCTTAGTGTATTCCTTGGCTGAAGATTTGAGTGTCACCATGGCTCCTACTCAGTTGATAAGATAAATATCCAAGGAGTCTGGAGCACAGCAATTCAGTTTTCATACATGCTGTAGCGGATATCTTGAAAGGCTTATTTCACGAACTTTCTATCCCTAGACAGCGCAAACATCAACCCGGAGTCTAAAGGTACCAAAAAGACTCAACAGGAAAAGATTTGGAATCCAAAGTACTTACACAAACTTAACTTAGGTTTGTCGTGTCACGTATCTTTGACTAAGAGGATTGAGACTCCGTCATGACTTGGAAACAAAGTATGTTTCAAGGTCTTAACACTCCCAAAAAGAAATCTGAAGTGTGGACTTAAAGTTGAAGTATAATTATTTCAAAACGGTAACATCTAATATCGTGACTCAGTCGTCTCCCTGAATAGAACAACACATCTTATATTCTACGCTGAAATTGTGAACCTGTAAGTTATGATCGCATCAACAACAGTTGCTGGCGACAATAGTCCTGCACCATGACTGTGGAATATATTTATTCTATGAAAAAAATAATAATCTAGAAACGCATACAAAAGCAAGTCTAGCCAGCACTAGCTAGCTCTATTCCAGAGCATAAGGAATTTTTTTTTTTTAGAGCCAAGAAGGATAATGTGTAATATAAGATTTCATAGACTAAATGTTAGTCTAGGCGACAAATAGCATCAGGACATACTGCTACCAACTTTTGATAGGATTCAGAAAAAAATCTTCAACCCCTGAAGAGTGTATAACAATGACATTAAAGCAGTACCTCCCTGCTCCTTAATTAGCATATCAATGTACCTGTCAGCATATTTCTAACAAAAAGCATCATCCATCAAGATGCAGCTTCAGTCAGTAGACAGTAACTGTGCCAATCTCAACTATCTTGAATCTCAATGACATCACAACGAATATGATATTGTTACTTATGCCACGATGATTGGGCTAATTTCATTGTTATATAAGGTCTTCTTACACAATTGTGTTAGAAGGGTAACAAATCATGGAAATTTGTCAAATCAAGATAACAAACAAGTTTTATGTAAGATTTACATGTTTATTTTGAGATCTCACCCATCGAAAAAGCAAACATGAACAATGCTTCAATGCAACTAAAACAATATGTATGCCATTCAAAGACGTAGCTTGTATACTACTCAAAAGAAGTTAAAGAACACCAGATACTGTCATATTATTCATGACAGACTAATTATCGTAATATGAAAGAATCGGACGTTCGTTACCTTCTTTTGAGTAATATATTTATCAATCAGCAAGATACATTTTATCAATTAAGGTAAAGATTCAAAATAAATCTTTCCATAATTAAATTAGTCAAATCATTTCCCACTATGTCCAGGTCATAACGGATGCTGAAAAACCAATAACAAATCTACAGCATCAGGAAGATTAGCATAGAGGTCCACCTTGGTCACACAGAAGATCGAGGGTGTCCAGGACATGCCACATTTCGTCCATGTTGCTCTTTGACACTGACCGGTGACAGACAAACACACTGGATATTGGTTTAGTTTAACCCTCAGCATTTTCCCATACACAAGTTTGCTTTCTTCTAGCGAGGAAACCAAGTCAAGTGATTCTCTAATGGAATTTTCACCGGTTTATCAACATGGATGGTATCAACAGCCCTTTTCAAATTCTTCCATTTTGGGTTCAACAAAAAACTGTTTGAGAAATAATTGTCAGTAACCTGCCAACAGAAACCTATATGGAGACACTGAAAATGGAGTTAAAGACTAACATCTTGTCTCTGAAATGAGCATATTGTACAGAAAAAAAGTTGTTAAATTGTCTTAATAAATATAATATAAAAGGAGCCCAGAGACACTTCCTTTTCAGATACTACAGTAATCTAGACTTGCCAAACACTATAGACTTGCATTGGCTGTATTGTATATATTGTATCAGGGTCTGTATGACAGTCTAAAGAAGTCAGTGTTGGAACAGATATTAGATATTCACAACATAAGTAAACTAATAAAAGATATCCCACTATACAAACCATCCAAAAAGTGATATGTTTGTGTAATGTATAAGTTTTGTACATGTCATACCATCTTATCCACACATCCTTTGTGACCCTAATGACATATTTCACACCTGTCTTATCAACACAGCCATACCTGGGAAACTAATTCCATCTTAACACCCCCCAAACAATGAATTCCAACCACATCAGCTTACAGCCTTACAATGTGATTGCTAACATTGTCAAAGTTTCAGGGTTGGAATTCAACTGTGAAAGTCGTTTCACTGACAAGTCAACCATATCAAATTAACACCATTTCATATGGCCTAAATCTCATTCAATCAACTCTACCAGTTATATTTTCCTAACAATTACACACAACTTGTACTGAGCCAGAGAGTATTGGTATCAATCTGGTATTGCAAAAAGTAGAAAATTGAGTAAAATTCCTAACACCAACAAAAAAGGTCCTTCTATACAAACCTTGATATACACAAATCAATTGCCCATATACTTATAGATTTATAGAAGACCTGCAAAGTGACAAGGCACAAAGTTAAAATGCTTTCAATAGACACCACTAAAACAGTAGTTAGGTGAATAGTGAGTGTTTCTGGCACAGACACATTGTCTCCCAGCACTTGTTAAGTATAACCTGACGCCAGGATTGTTGTGTCACCAGGTTTGGCCACCTGAAGCTACAACCAACCCGGGGTTGAAGTAGACACCTCCTGCAAAGTTTTCACCACTCGCATTGTCAAATCACTTTCTCCTACCCTCCTCAAAACAATACTGTCACTGCTGGACATGAATGAGTTTGATTCTCACAATAGCTTTATGCTTCATTTAAGTGTTCCAAAGATCTTAACTTGACCACTGTGTGTCAGGTTTGACCAAGGGTCATTGGTGCAAAAATCTATTCTAGAAGCAGATGGCTTTTAATGCAATATGGGAGAGGATTCTAATGATGTTCCAGTTCGCTGGTGCGTGTCAAGCAGTTTCCATATAAAATAGAACATGGCTACAGAATCCTTTTTTAAATTGATCCTTTTTGTTGCAAGGACTTTTTCCTCACTGGTTCAGATCGACTCATGCTAGATTGGCTACAAGGGCGTACCAGTACAACATATTGCAGAGAACATACATGATGGAATCAATTGTCCGTTTGTGAACACTGTACAGCACAGAAAGGCTGATGAGGACAGGTTTTACAAGTACCTGAGAGGACACAGTACACTGGAAATTAATGCAACCATCATACAAGCATCACACTGTTCTATCATATACTAGATAGTGAATTGACATAGATAATGGTATGTTTGTATGTAGAGTTTGATGTGACTAATCCCCGGCTCCACGGTCTGTTGACTACAGGTACATCGCATATTTCAACTCAGCAGCTGTCTACAGTGTGTGAATGCTTGGATGAACAGTCAAGCAGTTTGTCATGCATTCACTGTGTGGATTGAATCATTTGATTCTGCTGTGTTCGAAACAAAATAAAAAGTTTAATAGGGTGGGAGACACATAAAAAACAACTCGACACTGTACAATATTTACAAGATGACAACTTATATAACAAAGAAACCAGTTTTACTTCAAGGGACAATTTTAGAAATTTATATTTACATAAAAGGCTTTGAACAAGCTTGAACAAGACGGTATTTAAAAGTTTACCAGAAATTTGGAACTATTAGTCACTGTGTTCTATGAAACATATCAAGAATAATTCTGATGCTTGAAAAATCATCTTGTAAATATTGTCTTACATCAGTACCCAAGCTGTACACCTGAGGACAATGAAGAGTATTTTTACCTGTAAGATGCATTGGCCAACCGCCTTGTCCTCAGGAACAGAGGCCGAGTAGAAACTCTGATCAAACTCTGGCTGTTTATCATTGACATCCCTGACAGTAATTATCACCGTAGCTGACGATATCCGTGGGGTCTCGCCACCATCCGATGCAATCACTGTAAGTCTGGGTTGTGCTTCAATTTCACAATCTATCGCTGACTTTGTCGTAATAAGACCAGTGTTACTGTCAATTTGAAACCAGGACGTTGGGGTTCTGTCCGAAATGCTGTAAAGTATCCGAGCGTTGTTTCCATCGTCAGGATCTGTTGCTGAAACTTTCACAACGTAGGTACCAGGTTCAGCAACTTCATGAATTTCGGCTGTGTAGATCTGTTGTGTGAAGACTGGATCGTTGTCGTTAATGTCCTCTATCCAAATCGTAAACGAGTAAGAAGCATGAAGAGGAGGTTCACCAGCATCTGTTGCAATAACTGTCAGATTATAAAACGGTTTTACTTCACGGTCTGGTGGTTTGGAAACAACGATGAGGTACACTACTCCGCTTGATTCATGGAGGTCAAAGACACCATCACCCCCAAGAAGGGTAATATTTGCATCAAAATATTCCTTTGGACTGTCGGGATCAGTGATTGAAATTCTTGCAACAAGTGTACCTTCACGAACATTTTCAGATATTTTACCCGTTTTGTTTCCATCTGATTGTAGAAAAGTAAGGCTGATATTTGCAGGCAATTCGTTGATGTTTTTCAAATCTATTTCCAAAGCAGCGCTGGCTCTTTGTGGGCTGGAGCCATTATCTTTGGCAAAAATGGCTACCCGAAAATTTGGAATTGTTTCATAATCAAGGGGTTTGTTAACCCTGACCACACCTGTCACCGGATCCACACGGAAATACTTTGCTCTTTCCGATTGAGGATCCAATTGGTAGGTGACAATTCCGTTCTCTCCAGCATCATCATCTGTTGCTGAAACTTGCAAAACACTTGTTCCGATGGTTGTGTTCTCTGGTATCAAAGCATGATATCGACTGAGAGTAAAGCGGGGCTGATTGTCATTTTGATCAATGAGCAAAATTTCTAGATTAAGTTCTGCAGTTTTGGGTGGATTCCCTCCATCTGAGGCTCGTATCACCAGGTCATATCTTGATTGAGTTTCGTAATCAAGTTCTTTGTTTATAAGTAAGTCTAAAAGCCAATCAAAACTCCCAGATGTTCGTGTTTCTAATCGAAAATGTTGCTCATCGTTTCCAGAAACTATTCTACAATCCTGGATTCCAAATAATGAATCTCTATCTGTGGCAGTGCCTAGGGGGTACTTGGCTTCTTTAGGAGCTCCTTCCGATATTCTCAGTGTCTGAGTCTTATTTGGGAAACTAGGACTGTTATCATTTATATCCACTAACCGCACTTGGACATCAATGAATTCACTATTACTATCCTGAACATAAAATGAGTAGAGGTCTTTACTTTCTCTGTCAAGTCGTAATTTGGTAAAAAGGGTTCCTGTTTGCTGATCTAATCTGAAATTATTTTCAGGAATTACAAACTCTATAGGGGGTACTATGTTGCTATTGGAAGCACCAATTCTACCAATTCTAGTACCCGGAGGTTCTTCCTCCATCACTTCAAATGTCTCTTTTATTTGTTGTTGTTTTGACTTGGAGGGTGAGAGCGCAAGCAGAAACAACACAAGCAATCGAGTCCCCCATTTTCTCTCTCCTTTCCCGACCCTCATTGCTGGCGTATAGGCACTCATTGCGCGGCCAGCAAATATTATTTTCTATCAAATCTTCACCATATTTCTTAAAATTGGTCATTCATCCAGTTGCCTACAAGCACTATACATTTACACCTGTAATCTGAAGATCGCGCATTCAGTTCATTTACACATGGTAACGGCGAAATGGCTTTGTCGCTATAGTTGACATTAATCTATAACGGAATACGTCATGACAGCATACACAAACCGTCAAATAATCACTCCGAGGTATCACAATAACGTATATCCTTTTCGTATTCCAAGCTTCCAGGTTCGTTGTTGTTTGAGGCCTGGATCTGTTTATAGTCGAGTACACAATAACGCACGTCCAAATTGCATTTGACACGACAGGTGAATATAGTCTCCGCACTGCAATTAGCACATGGTACACTTCCGAAATAACACAGTGATAAGCATAGTATCTGACTTTACTGGCATTGGTCGTTTTCACGCCTCGCACAGGCTGAGATTCACATTTGAGGTCCGCGACCCACCGTAGAGGCCGAATATACACACAGTGTTGTTTCGGGGGACCTACCTCTCTCACCTGTAAAAGCGAGCGAAGCTTGTCCCGTTTCCACGCCGCTGAATAAGTCCACTAAGTTGCTACACACAAAGTCGTGATCAAGGCTCGCTCGATAGCCACGACTTTTTCGATATATATCCAACTTTTTTGTACTCCATGTGTTTTATGTCCACTTTGTGGCCAGTTATAAGAGTTCACGTTTCGACTTCGCGGCCACACTGTGGTATCAACACACAGCCTCGCTTTGAGACACACACTCGGGTCACGTGACTACTGCTTCGTGCTGTCTGCTCGAGTTGTGTAGCTCGCTCGTCTAGGCGAAGGGAGAGAATTGTCGGCCTCTTTGAAATCGACATCAGTTAGTTAGAGATGATTAGCAGCATGTCAAAGTGCATTGCTAAGATGCTGGGAGTGCGCGTAGCGCATCCATCATAATAATAAGACTTCGTTTGATGACTTAAGGTTGCACGTACGATTCATGTATTAATATATGTCGTTACAATAAATGTCACCGTGACTATCAAACAAATGTATAAGAATTACAAACTGACCTCAAAGAACATCTGCATTTGGAAATAACTTCTGTGCCACTGGATTTCTTCAAAGACACTTCCAAAAGTGACATGCATATTTCATTCTTTAATTTCACTTTTGAGTACTTTTGTCTATGGATACAGACCGGATACTCAACATGTGCGATTGTGGGTGATTAAAACATCCCGTGTTGGGGGATTTTTATTAATTTATTGCCTTTTGAAAACGCTTCCGGGCAATAAAATCCTTACATAATGTTATCGAGGTATCATAAAGGTCGCTTCGCTCATTTACTAAGAACATTGTGGCATTGTTTCTAACCTTTGGATGCATTGTAATACATCTTCAAGAAAGGTCAGCATAGACTAATACGCATGGGCGACAGTGTTTCAATTACTACAACATTTACTAAGGTAGTTTCTTCTGTTCGTTGGGTTTATCAAATAATAACGACCAGACTGAAACGTTATATCACACAATAAGCTCCAACCTGTAACATAAATCAGAACAAGTTCATGGATGCATGAGCATGGCAAGTGTTTATGCATGAAACGATATGAAAGAATCATAATAAACGACTAAACGGACGCGACTGGAACATCAGTTTGTTCCCTTATGCAGTGAATTGATATCACAGCGGCCAAAACAATCGCCCACGAAGACCCTTCACTTCCGCCTAATTACTCCCTTGATTAGGACGTAATCAAGCGAATCTAAGCACGGACCCGCGCAAGTCGGCTGTTTAGATCAAGTGATTAAACTGCTGCAAAGGCCTCGTCTCATCGTCGACATTTCATCTTGAAAGACGATGATGCCAACGTCGTTACGGACGACCCATTTGCCTGTACGATTCTACATATATCTATGAATACATTCTGATGAGTTTACATGCCTGCGACTACAGTAGTATATATAATAAGTTGGTAGAGTCATTACGTGGCTTGTAGAAATGTACCGATGCGGCTTGTTACAATCTGAATACTATTAATACATTCTGTTAATAACCGTTTGCGTAAGAATCAAGAATCAAGAATTTTTATTGTACTGAACACCCTCGTAGGGCAGGGTACAGACTATCTACATATGAACATGTATATAATTATAGATATGACAGGTATATATATATGATGTACATTATGTATAGAGGCATTACATGTTATTTCATTTACATCATATAAACATTTATGTATATTAGGATATTGCTGGCAGCGTACACTTAGTTGAATTGAATATAATAGAATTTTCTCATGGCTTAGCTTGAACATGTGGTATATAGTCCGGGCAACAAGACTTGACCATTCTTTTGGTGAGATTTGAGTCACTCGGCACAGTTAATAAGAACAGAGTCAAAGCTGCAAAGCTGAGGTATATTGTCGTGGAACCTGACCTCATTTACTTCATTATATATTTCGTATGTTTTAAAGGAACAAAGCTCCTAATCTAATCCTAATCGAGCGTTCATTTTAAAGGTAATTTTGTTTGGTTTGTGCCAGCGCCGCGCTCAGCAATAATGCATCTATATGACGGCGGTGGAGTCTGGATTTAATCGAAATGAAGAAGCATCTATATAATGTAACAGGCTTAGATTAAAATAAAATATGCAGGGTAAAAGTAACCGTGTAAGGTCATTTTGCAAGTATCATGTTTGCGTGGTAGTAATCACGTCTCATTTGAGCTGAAACCACGTAATTAAGATACTCATAATAATCGTATTGAGATTGGTTTCAATAGGTCATGCCATACCATTATTTTACGTCCGTGCTATTTCGCTAGGCAGTCACCATTGATACAGATCCCTCGGAGTCTTCGAATGTGCAGCAATGTCATTCTGCAAATGTCAAATGGGAAATACAAACAAAATATTTCATTATTCATAATGTTTGTAATTTAATCTGATCACATCTTTACTTTATCACTTGAGACATAACTATCAACTGAAAAAAATCATTTGTAACCATATATATGTTGTTTTTTCATTGCTACCTTTGTCCTAATTCTTCGAAAGTTGGTTTGGAAAGTAGCCAAGTGGTATGTGTGTTCATTCGTGGTCTGGGTTCATGTCTACGCAAGGATTTATGGTTGTGCTGATGGTAAGGTAGTAATATGATGTCATACGTGATAACCCTTCAACCAAATGCTCGAACAAAAAAACTGGATTAGGAAGGTGAGCTATCATTTTAAGAATGCTTCAACCACTTTATTCGATTTATTCGCTGTAAGGTATGAATAGTTATAACAATGCTCACAAAGCGGGCGGACTGATATTCACATGGACGGACGCTACACCAATGAGCTGTGGACCTGGATTTGTAACTAAAGTTTGTAAAATGGAGAAAACAACATCTTTTGTAAATAACAAAGCCTCTTATTTCATTGGGAACATGATTGACTCTGGATTAGCCCATTTTCTGTGTTAATTTCACACCTGCAGGTATGTTATCTTACAGCATAGTATCGCTACTAGACATGTGGGAATAGAGAACGGAACCGGGTCTGTTTATTTCGAAGGCAAAGATTGCAAATGACTGATAAGACCGGTTTCAGGCGGCTTTGCATAGTTATTCATGACAAGGAGTATTATGGATTACAACTTCTTATGACACACACAGCATTTCAGGGCTACGTCTAGACTAACATCTTGTCTCTGAAATGAACATAGCCTACAGTGTTAAATCATCTTTATAAAAATATAATAAAAAGGAGCCCAGAGACTCTCTTGATGTTCAGATACTGCAGTAATCTAGACTTGCCAAACATTATAGACTTGCATGGGCTCTATGGGATATATTTGTATGAGGGTCTGCATGACAGGCTCGGCTACGTCTTGTCCCTTCAGCAGTGAATGACACGGGGGAGAACATGGCGCCAGTACATTTAATATAAACATGAAGTCAGTTATAATTAGATACATTCAACACAAGCCAGTTGTGAAACGTCAATCTTGTCAACTCGCTTATCTTATACACGTTTGTGCCTAATTATAACTGGCTTCACTTTTAGTATATTCACTGCCGCAAAGGAAGTATATATACACCCATGTTTGATAGTGACCAAATGAAACAAACGAGAAATGTTTATTCCATGGTGATGTATTTGATACGTTATCAGTGTTACGTTTTGGACCTTAAGTCTGTTTTGGCGACTGTTTTGACTGTTTTGTTTGTTTGTCTGTTTGTTTGTTGTTTAACGCCGCATTCAGCAATATTCCAGCCATAGAATAGAATAGAATAGAATAGAATTTTATTGTACTGAACACCCTCATAGGGCAGGGTACAGACTATCTACATATGAACATGTATATAATTATAGATATGACAGGTATATGTATATGATGTACATTTTGTATAGAGGCATTATTTCATTTACATCATATAGACATTTATGTATATTAGGTTATTGCTGGTTATTTAACTTAATTGGATTGAATATAATAGAATTTTCTTATGGCCTCAGCTTGAACATGTGGTATATAGTCCGGGCAACAAGACTTGACCATTCTTTTGGTGGATTCATAAAGTGTTTTAAGAGGTTTGTTTTATCGGTCTGGGAAGGGTCGCCTATTTCTACCAGTGCCATCAGATTTCTCCTAAGGTCTGTATATGACGGCGGTCTGTTAATAATCGAGTCTGGACCAGACAGTCCAGTAACTGACATCATGAGCATCGATCTATACAATTGGGATACAATGACATGCATCAACCAAGCCAGCGAGCCTGACCATCCGATCCCGTTAGTCGCCTCTTACGACAAGCATAGTCGCCTCTTACGGCAAGCGTGGGTTGCTTAAGACCTATTCTAACCCGGATCTTCACGGGTCTTTCAGGTAAGTAACGTTTTGATAACATTTGTAATGTTTTAGTCAAATACAATTTTTAAGTGCATACTTTGTTTTTCCCGGCGTGTATTATTTGTCATTCACCTGATGAAGGAACAAGAAACAAGCCCTGAAACTAAGTGTCTGAATCATAAAGAACTTGTTATCCAGTGTACTCATGACGAATAAGAGATTCGAACCAACTATCAGCGGATCCTGGTAGATAAGGGGCGAAACTATGCGCAGCGGGTTGTGGAGTCTCTAACCACTGGCACCACCGTACATATAAAGACGCTACATCACCACTAAAACCGATGGACAAGTATTCCAGAACACTGTTGTTAGGGTTGGCTGCATACGGATTTCTCTAACTTGGCACTGCTGCATGGTCAGGCGCACTTTCCTGACAATGTGGTGAGTGAGTTTGGTTTTACGCCGCTTTTAGCAATATTCCAGCAATATCACGGCGGTGGACACCAGAAATGGGCTTCACACATTGTACCCATGTCGGGAATCGAACCCGGATCTTCGGCGTGAAGAGCGAACGCTTTAACCACTAAGCTACCCGAATATTGATATGCACTTTATGGGAAATGTCAGCAAATCGCTCACTTTAAGAAGAGATCGCGTTTATCTTCATAAGCCGACCTAGCTCCTCACTTTAAATGTTTAATGTGCTCATCTGTGAAGGGCGTTATTAAATAGTGCGTCACCTGCCTGCACATTACGTTATTAATATTATATTTAGTTTGTAAATTTCAGTCATGAATTTTCAAGACGAGGGATCTATGAACAATAAAAACGGATAAAAAAGTAAATTGATTTTCACGACGATGTGCACTGTAGTGCGTTTCAAAAATATTCAATCATTTATAATGCAACAGCATGTATTTCAAGGCAGAAAGCCA